GGGCACGGCACCGCAACCATGAAGTTTAATCGTAGCGCAAGTGGTTAAGGAAGCATAAGCAATGATCACTAATGAGATCTTCTATCTGTTTTCCCCGAAAACTTGTATCACCACTACCTCAGAGATAATTATGGCCATTGAAATCTCCAATTACAATGAGAGGAGTAGGTAACTGTTCTATCAAATCATCTAATTCCTTTTTATCTATCACTTCATTATTAGACAAGTAGATGGTACAGACAGTGACAAGCATTTTGATATTGATCTGTACCGCGACACTTTGGAGACATGGGTTCAAAGGAAAGACAGTCGAAGGGTGGACATGGGAGGTGAGGACAGCAACGCCTCCGCTTACGCGCTCACCAGACAAAATGTCTTTCCTGACAATTGAATATTTCCGGAACTTAGCTTTGCTATCTTGTTTGAGAAATGTCTCCTGCCTCAAACAGGCCAGGGTGATAAATATCTATCAGGATTTTGATGATCACTAGACCTTGATGAAATCCGCGACACTTCCAAGAGATTAAAGTAGCCATCATGAATATTTATTTTGCCTACGCTGTTTCTTCGTTAGGCGTGGTAGAAGACTTTTTGACGGGGCTAATCCTTCTTCTAATTCCATTTCAGATTCAATCTGTATCTGAAATGTATTTGATAGTATACTTTCTAATCAGGTATGACCAGAATTTACTGTTTCTGAGCTTATGTTATTTGAAGACTTCTTTTGTTTTTTAATATTAATTATTTCATCTTTTTTACGAGTTGGCGTAAGTTTAGTACTGGCATATATATTGTTATTTTGCATTTTTTGGTGGTACTTCAGTTTTAGTCTTGTTTGAGTGGTAGGTAACGTTTGGATGGCTGTTGAACGAACAGATTTTGTTGCATCGGCAAAACTCAGGTTTGAGCGAGGTTGAGTGCTTTCAAACAATCTCTTAGCTTCTGTATATGATACATTTTTGGTTGCTCTTATAGTTTGCATTTCTTTTTCAGTTTTCCATTTGTGACAGGAACGAGCGAAAGATGGGTGACTGTCTTTACATTTAACACAAAGGGGCTCAGCAGTACAACCCTCACTTTCATAGTCCACAGACGAGCAGCGAGCGCATATACGTTTTGGAACCAGTGTATATATATATACAAATCTGTAACATTATCTCTTCGCTTAGAATCAACTGTAGTCTTGCAAAACAAGCCTTCCTTTTTTATATAATTTTCTGACTACACTATTTTTTTGACAGACATGTGGCCCGCGGATCTTTGTGAATTCACTGATGTGGCTATCGGGCGTGAAAGGTTGAAGACCCCTACTCTAAGGGAAATACCCAAAGTTTCTCATAATAAAAACTTGGTTGTTTACAAACGAGAATTACTGAACGTGAAATGACAATGCTGCAGAAAACACCTTAGCTCTGTCTCTCCCAGGTCTCAGTTTGGCACCCACTATGAACTTGCGAACGATGCACTGAAGGATCCCTTTCAGTTGAAAAAATGAAAAAAGCGGCGGTACATTGACCCAGAGTATAAAGTATAAAGGTACATTGACCCAGAGTATAAAGGATACTATTGAAGTGGTAATGGCATATCACTTTCCTAATTATGCAAAGGAGTATGACCTACACACGCACAAAGTCTCTTAGACAGGAAGTGTTAAAACTGTTCAATACAAAAGATGACTTGCCAGGAGACTTCAGAAGATGACTTCAGAGGTCGCAAACGTGATCAAAAGCTTGAATCCTGGAAAAGCTCCAGGCGTTGATGATTTGTCTAAAGAAATAATACACCTGTAAGTATTTCTGGCTAAGTCAGAACCGATTATTGGGCTTTTTAACATATTATTGGGAAAAGAAATATTACCCAAGTACTAGAAAATGGCAAAACTAGTCCTTTTCAATAAAGATAATACGGATCCAAGAAAGGCAAATTCATACAGACCAGTTTATTAACAGCCTGGAGTACAGAATATTAACATCAAGATTGAGTTATTTCCTATTAGTATTTATTCGGCGTGTTATTGTGTCTTAATTATTTCCTATTCTCAAATAACAAACTAGTCTCTTCCCAACATGAATTCACGCCGGGTAAGAATACTACGAACGCAATACAAGAAATTATTAACTTTGTCGAATATAATAAACAACGTAAACTACATTCATGTCTGATATCTTTGGATATTAAAAGTGCTTTCAACAATATTTGGGGGACTGCTTTCTTGACTCAATTATAACTACTGAAATGCTCACACAATCTGTATAATGTAATAAAGGGCATGCGAAAAGATTGCAGCATAATATATTAAATTATTCATATTAAAGTGATTCAGTCTCAAGAAAAGAATGCTTTCAGGACTCAAATTAAGGCCCTCTTTATTAGGACCTAATCACGAATACTGCATCACAATTGAATCTCGGAGAAGATGTTAAATCTCACGATTATGCTGACGATTTATTACCGAAGATTTCAGACTCATCATCCTACCATAAAGAGGACCAAAATTTCGTCCTCCCAGAATAATAATAGGAGGATACAATATTCAACATGTTAAAGATATGAAATATCTTGCATTAATTTTAGATAAAAAGCTGTCATGGCCTCCACACATATATTATCTCGAAAGAAAAACTGGGAAGATAGTTAACTGATGGAACTTGATGAAGAATCTTTCTAAATTAGTAACCAAAGAACTGTAACAGAGGGCACTATTACGAATAGAAACATATGGCTGTTAAACCTAGTGGGGAAAACATCGGCTCCCATGAGAGATGAAATTCCAAAGATTCAGAGACCAATTCATTTGGCTCTCACGAGAGGATACAAGATTGCATGTACCCCTTTCGTTACAAGTTTTATCATAATTCATTCAATTAATTTACAGCTGGATTTGGAGGCAGCAAGTCTTGCTTAAGAAATGAGAATAAAGATTTTCAACTCTATTTCAGTTTGTAGTGAGAATTGGAAAGAGATTCTTCAATCCAGCGAGATCTATCCATAGCATTGGATCAATGATCTACAAAATAATTCTGGTTTCGAAATTGACGCAGATGGATCCAAAATGGATTAGGGAGTTGGTGCCACATAAGATTGTTTTGTTTATAAAGCAGATATGAATACTTTATATAAAGCGTTATTACGGAATTATACAAATATTAAAAGGAAGAACTGCCATATTTTTAAGATAGCCATGGAAATGTTAAAAGGAAAACATGCCATATTTTTAGGATAGCCATATAAATATTAAAAGGAAGAAATGACATTCTGAAGAAATGCCATCCATTTTCTCGGATATCCAAATGGCTTTGAAAACCTTTGGCAAATTTAACTTGCCATCAATAGTAAATGAGAGAAGAAATGGTCTGGACAAGACTAAAGTAACACTTCATTGAATTGAAGGCCATTAAGGTTATAACGGAAATAGCAGATGCATCGGCAAAGACAGGAATAAGCACTAGAATACCACTGAACATAAAACTGCCAAACATTTATGTTAAATCAGCTTTGAAGCAAAGAAACGGAAAAGGAATAACAGCGAAGATGGGATCCATTGGAAATTAGTTGATTAACATACGAATTGGTTCCTAATATTAAAACAATAAGATTATGTTTGGAGTTCTTCTCGACTCAAATTTTAACAGGACACTCATCGTTCCCGTCCTACCTGAATATGTATAAATTGACGAGTGCTAAATACGTGTGGTTTAAGAACAGTAGATGCACTACACACCCTGACTGAAAGCCAAGAGTTATCACAAATCCGAAAGTGTTTCATAAAGAAAGACATTTCTTTAGATTCATTTCGAAGCCTTAATAAATGAAAAAGAACGACAGCTTGTCATAAATCATAAATATTTTATGATAATGAAGTCACACTATATACTTCATAACAATGCTTTTATATATTCGTTATACAATTTTAAATATTTGTTATTGCAGTTCTTTTTTTATCACTTAATATTGTTTAAGAACTTTCCTATACTGCACTTTAGCATAATTATATTTGTTAACATTGTAAACATTTATAACTGTATTGCTGAATTTTGATTAGAGCTTGGCGAGGTTAATAAATCTCTCCAGATAGAGATTTTTAAACTTTTAACTGGCAAATCTTTTAAATCAAAATTTAAAGGGTATTCAGTATGTCTTTAGCTGTTTAGCTATTACGGTAATACTTCTCCACCGTTCTTCCATTTCATGCATTTTGAACACATCCATACCTCAGACACATATATACATACAAACATCAAAGCCTTCTCAGTGATTCGAAACCTAATCCAGCGACACAGCACCCAGAGCACTAACTACTATACCGAACAGGGCGGCTATGAATTCTCAGATACAGCTACAAACACAAACTTTCGCTTCTGCTGCTTTTGATAACCTTCAAAATCATTTAGGTTTTCCAGCCGGAAGTATATACGTTGGTTTGATATTTAAATTGTTCTATTCGCGAAGAGTTTCTGATTCATTGTCTAGTCCTATAGCTTTTGATGAGGTTGTAAAACTTGAGAGCCTTAATCCTCAAGATCCTTCTTTCATGGTCAGTCCATTGTCACACACAAATTAAATTGTGCTAGTCATAATTTACAATTTCGTGAGATTTTTGCTATAGACATATATAAATTTCTAAATGTTATATAAACGTCTTTAAATACGATAGTTTTGTAATAATTTAATTTCACAATGCAGTTTGATTCTGTGGTCTGAGTACAGTGCCAACTGTAAAGATCTTTATCTCAGATACTAATAGTAGTGAGAGAACCTGTAAAGCTTTTAATAAAATTAACTAGAGAGAGAGAAAATGTAGCTGAACTCTTATTTTTGAAATTTATTGAATTAAAAGACCAGTGTCTACTACATCACACATTCTTTTAGGCCTTACAAAAAAAAAAAAAAAAATAATGCTGAATGGAGAAAAGTGTTATATATCTGATATAACGATTTGGAATTCAAGCTAAAAATTTGAGAAGAGAATTAATGAAATAGAAATTACTTGAATTATTTACCTGATCGTAGCTTTTTTCACAAAAACTTTTTACATCTTTCTCATAGTCTTCTAGGCTGCTTTGCGTTAAGTTTAAAAAATCCGTTGTATAGAAATACGTCGCAAATGCCTGAAAAATATTATTATCATTATTCAAATTTTATGACAAATTCAATAATAATCAAATTAAGTAAGAAATATTTTGCGCAACAGAGTATTTATTTCATAAAAAGAATCTATAATTAGTAAGTTCTAAATTATAGCACAGTTAAATTTTAATAAAAGCAGTCATTATTTTCTTTATCCAATAGTTCTTAAAATTCAAGAATACAAGCTAGTTTGCCGTAGGAGGTAATTCACATGGTCATCCCTCTTAAGCCAGGCAGTATTCGTAGTGCTTTGCCAAAATCTGTTAAACAATCGACCACCTTAAGACTTCCGATCGATTTGAATTTCATTTGCGAAGATACAGTAATAACTGACTACTGGAGACAATATTATTTTAGAATTTCAGCATTTAGAAGGAGAAGAATTTATTTTATAGCAATCTGAAAATAATATTTCTATTTAAAATACTTTGATTACAATTCTAAATGGTTTTTAATTCATTTGTTAACAGTTTAAGTTACATCTTATTTAAAATCAAACTTATAATCGATTTTTTTCCCTTCCGCTATAACTATTTAAATAAATTGTTTCGGAACCTAAAAATCATTTTATTAAATCATTATTCGATAAGGATGGCTGGTGAATTTCACGTATTTGGTAATAAACTTATTTTCATTTTGTTTAATCCGATTATTTCAAAACACATAACAGCTACCTACTTAAGGGGTGGGAAGCCTTCAAAGAGATCATTTTATAAACACTGGTACATCTTATACATAAGGAAAACCTTAAGAACGCCAAACTTATTACAAAGCTTGACTGTTTATTAGACAGTAAAAATCTCTTTCTGTGCATATGTATATATACATATATTACTCTGTATATAGTACTATGTGTGTATGTGCATATACATGTGGCATTTTTTTAGCAGTCGTGGTGAAGATTGGCATCAAAGTTCAGGCATGGCTTTTGCAGAGTGGTAAGGAGGATATCCAAGGACGACACACAGAGGAATTTCACTTTTAAATGCACATATTTATTTAATTCAAATAGCAGATCAATTTCCTTTTCCGTCAAAGTTCTCCAAATTACATATTCAATAATGAGTTACTAAATACGATTAAATTTTGACTTTCTGCGTCATAACATTCTAACAAAGAAAGAAATATGAGAAGCGTAGCAGCATAGGTCCTAGCAGCACAGGGACAAAGAAGCTTCTGATGCAAAATGGCTCGCAATCGTTATTTATAGTAGAAGGTACTGGTTTAGAGCAAAGATTCTAAATTGCAGAAAATTAATTGAAGGTTGCGTGTTCGCGAAGGGCAAAGCCATCATGTTTTTTACATTATATATATATATATATATTGTTACGAAATGTACAGGCGCAGTGAGATAGCTTCCCCGCAAAGCAGTTTTAGGGTTGCCATAAAAAGGGCAAGGGAAGGCAGAGTTGCCCCATTTGGCCAGAAATCGCCCATTTGGCGACATTTGGCGACAAAATTGGCTATATACCATGGACGGACGGAGAACCTTCTGGAACCAGTTCTTGCCGGTTTAGCCCAGAATGTTCTCGAACACAAGCCGAAAGCTATATAAACCCTGCTGGTCCGCAGTTAGTATCGAGTGTGTGCTTCATCGAGAGAGCGAGTCAGAGTGCCTCGTCTGGAGTGAGAGTTAGTTAGTATCGAGTTGGTGTCTCGTCTAGCGAGTCAATACCTGCGGAGTCGATCGAATTGACAGGCGGGCAGCGAGTGCCAAGTGGGTCGTCGAGTTCACCGAATGAGTCTGTTAGTGTATCGTAGTTAGTGCATCGTCGAGAGAGCGTTGGCTCCGGGAACGACTGAACCGAAGAGTCGGAAGCTGTGGTTTGAGTGTCGTCAAGTGCATCGCGAGTTGTAGCGTGGAGAGTCTCGAGACTACGTGGAGTTCCGAGAACGACCAAGCAGAGTCGCGAGCTGTACTCTAGTGCTTTGCCGTGAAGCCGTCTCCACTGTGATAGCCTGATAACCTGGAGGCTGTGTCGCTGATCGTGTCAGCGTGTTTATAGTAGTTCATCGACGACTGCAAAAACGTGTTTTGGAGCTGTCCTGACAATACTGGCCAATAAAGTGTGTTTCGATACTTCATCAAGTGTCGTCATTATTCACTCCAAATCTACTAACCCCGTACGAACGTCAAGGAAGAAAATAACGTAACAACTGGTGTCAGAAGAAAGAAAAATGTAACAACTGATGTCAGAAGTGGGATTTGCGAGTGAATGCCAGTGACCCGCCTGCAGAGGAAAGCCACAGCGGAGAAACGAAGACTTTGATGGACTTCCTAGCCGAGATGAAAGCTGAAATGAAAGCCGGACAGGAGGAGATAAAGGCTGAGATCAAGAGCGAAATAAAAACCATGCAAGAGAAATTCGAACGGATGGAAGTGGAACAAAAAAAGATTAAAAGCGAGATCGTGGAGCTTAGAGAGGATACTGGAGCAAAAATAGCAGCTGTGGAAGAAGGATTTAAAGAAAAATTAAGAGAATTCCGGAAAGAAGTAGATGTTTCGAAAGAAAACCGGACTGATACGAAGAACGAAGCTGAAGATTTCAAGGTTCCCCCAGTGTACTCTCATACGGTTATCAAACCAAGCACATAAGATGGAAAATCATCATGGAGTGTATATAAGACCCAGTTTTCCATCGTGGCGGAAAATAACAAGTGGGACTCCCACATGAAGGCTTCGCAGTTGGCTGCGTCACTCCGAGGAGATGCTGCAGACATCTTAGGGGTCCTGTCCCGAAGACCAGATTTCACACTAAGCCTCTCGAATGTGCTGGAAATGAGATTCGGGGAAAAGTGCGCAAAGGACTGTAGCCGTCTGCAGTTGAAATCCCGCCAGCTGAAAACCACGGAAAGCCTTCAAGAACTTGAATCTGACGTCGAGAAGTTGGCGCATCAATCATATCCGGACGGTCCACCTAATGTCCGAGAAAATCTGGCCTTGATGCATTTTGTCAATGCCGTTAAGGATGCGGAAATTCAGAAAGCTCTCAGATTGGCGGATCTGAAAGACCTCAAATCTGCCTTTGTCTACGCTATGAAGTTCGAGTCGGCTCAACAAGCGACTGGAAGAGATCGCCATCCTATTAGAGCGGCTTAAATAGAAGATCCAAATTTTGATATCTCGAAATTAAAAGAAATAAAAGATTCGGGAGGCGTTAAGAAGACTTAATAAAAACAATACTGGGAAGAAAATCGTCAAGCGCTGGAACTGTGGATTGGAAGGACATCTCAGCAGGAACTGTCATATGAATCAAGACTGGAAGACATCTCCCGCGAAACAAAACCAGGGAAACTAAAATGCGGCAACCTCATGGGGCGGAGGTTGCCAGGCAAAGATGCAGCCCCTCTGAAAGTTATTCAAATCTCTTCAATGAGCGGCGGAGATAACGGACTGTTCGTCGAAGGATACGTGAATAAGCATCCTTGTGAAATGATTATAGATACGGGAGCAAAGGTACCCATCGTTTAAGAACAGATGTAGCTCGAGAATTGAGCGAAACTTTGCGCTAGACTCCGCCTTGTGTGACTTTGCAGACAGTGACAGGTGATAAGATTCCCACTGAAGGTAAAATTAACATCAAGATTACCTTCGGAAATGAGACCTACCAGCACTTAGCTTTCGTCGCTAACATCACGGAAGAATTAATACTCGGACTGGACTTTTTGCGGAAGTACGATTTTATGTTGGACTTTAAACATAACGAAATGCGCTCTGCAAAAGAGGATATAACTGTGTTTGAAATGAAGAGCAGCAATCCGTCAGCTCACCAAGTAACAACAAAAACAGATGTCACCATCCGTCCGATGACAGAATTATTAATAGCTGGATCCATAGAAAAGAATAGCTTCATATTTGGACTAATTGAATACCCTGAAAATAGCTTAAGAGAGGTATTAGTGGCCTTCTCATTAGTAGACCTTTCGAAAGATTTCATCCCTGTGAGAGTGGCGAATGTTAGCCACAGACCAAGAAACATCCAAAGGGGTGAAGTGCTAGCAGCATGCACTCCAGTTACTTCTGTTTATAAAGCCCCACTTGAAATTCCGACTGAGGCAACTAGGAAACTAATGGAAGAACTTTGCAATGAAGGGAAGAAGAGTGCAAATTTAACACATGAACAAAGATGTGCGGCCGAGAAAATAAAGAATTTGAAGATCTATTTTCTAGGTCATCCAGAGATGTTGGCCGCACAAAACTGACACAACATCGAATTGATACGGGGGATCACTCTCCGATAAAGCAGCATCCCAGACGCAAAACAGGAAGAGGTTGGAAATCTTCTGAAGGAGATGCAATAAAATGATATCATCGAACCATCCACAAGTCCATGGGCATCTCCTATAGTTCTCGTCCGGAAGAAAGACGGCTCGACAAGATTTTGTGTCGACTACCGGAGACTAAATGTCATTAAGAAAGACAGTTATCCTCTTCCCAGGATTGACGATACTCTAGACACTCTATCAGGACACAAGTGGTTTTCCTCCCTGGACCTCAAGAGTGGATACTGTCAAGTGAAAATTCATCCCGATGATAGACAGAAAACTGCGTTCACTACCGGTCAAGGCCGGTCTACCGGTCTGGCACTACCAAGTTATGCCTTTTGGACTCTGTAACGGCCCTGCAACATTTGAACGCCTGATGGAGACAGTCCTTCGTGGTCTATCTTACGAATCCTGTCTGGTCTATCTAGACGACATCATTATAGTGGGCCGTACTTTCGAGGAACATCTAGAAAATATCAGGAAGGTGTTCCAGAAATTGAGAGATGCCAAACTTAAACCGAGTCCTTCGAAATGCAAGTTGTTCCCAGTGAAGTTACGTGATCTCTGCCGAAGGTGTCCGCACAGATTCAGAAAAGGTGTCAGCAGTTAAAGACTGGGAATTTCCTGTGGATATTCATAAACTACGGAGCTTCCTGTGACTCTGTACTTATTACAGAAGATTCGTGAAGAGGTTCTCCAACATCGCAAAACCTCT